GACTCAAAACTACCAACAAATTTCCTTTTTGTCCCTGTCCAAATGCTAGCTCTGAGAAGTTCCTAGTAGTTCTGTATGGGGTGGATTTCATTCCAAAGGGGGGGGGGGATCTGCTTGGCACAGAATCAAATACAAATTATCGGCCTCTGATGAGCCGCCACAAAACTGCAAGTTTGAACACTTTGAGCATGCAATCTGATTTCTGCAAGTCTCAACATTATTCATCTTTCAGACCTGGTTTTATCACACAGGTCACACACAACACTTCAAAGTTCAAAATGTTGCACCATCACATATTCAGCCTTAAGAGCGTTAATTTTTCCCCCCCTCCAGGCATTTCTCACTGCATATAGTCAAGCCTCATCATGTCCCAAAACAGCCTCTCCCCACAAAATAGGATGGAAACGATGTTCTAGCAATGCCCTTTGCACTACACTGCAATTCAGAGTGTTTAACCCACTGATGCTTGTCTGGTCTTATGTACGTCAGAAATCCAAACCAAAAATAACTATTTGAGGGTTACCCCACTTATTTTCCAAGTGACCAGAACATGATAGCGAGGCACATTCAAAAGATTCTTTGAATCTACTATCACGCCTCTTAAAACAAAAATATAGCCAAGGAGTTAAGACTACTCAGATGGTTGTACAGTAAGAAAAGAATGAGCATGTAACACAACCAAAGATTCCTGTGACACGTTAAAGGCTAACACATTTATTATGGCACAACCCTTGCAAGGAACAGTCGGAGTGGCTTTCGATTTGACAAACATGCTTGTATGTGACAAGAGTTCACGCCACAACGGACACATGATTGCCACCTTAAATGCATTTTCCTACTGCGACACAACCACTGGAATCTGGTGTGTAAAATGGGAGGTTGTGTCATCAGAAGTCATGGGAGGGATTCGCCTAACGCAGGGGTCAGCAAACTTTTTCAGCCGGGGGCCGGTCCACTCTCCCTCAAACCTTGGGGGGGGGGGCGGACTATATTGTGAAAGAAAGAAAAATGAATGAATTCCTATGCCCCACAAATAACCCAGAGATGCATTTTAAATGAAAGCACACATTCTACTCATGTAAAAACACCCTGATTCCTGGACCGTCTGTGGGCCAGATTGAGAAGGCGATTGGGCCGGATCCAGTCCCTGGGCCTTAGGTTGCCTACCCATGGCCTAACAAGTCCAGTCGGCAAAACCCTCAACAAGGTCTTCTGTGTGCACAATGGAGCTTTCTCCCCTCCTCTCTCCATGATGCCCCTGAAATGGGGGGCAGGGGTTCTGCGAGAACCCCTCAGAACAGGAGAGAGGGGCTGTTTCATCTGGCAAACCAAAATGCTTGTTCCAATTTAACCATCAACTTAGCTTGGCACTGAATTCCTCCCCGTATCTTTTCAGGTGTGTCCCAGGCAGGTAATGAGTGGACATGGGAAATGGCATTTCACTGAGACCATTCTCTACCTAGCTCAGCACCGACAATACTGAAAGGCAGTGACTCTCCGAAATTTCAGGCAGGATTCTCTCCCAAGCTCTACCTAGAGATGCCAGGAATTGAACCTTGTGATTCAACGCTCAAGCATCATTGCGCCAATGAAACAGTTCTTAAGCACGACCATGCCAAGACCCAATTCTGATGCAATGCCTGTTTGACCCTTTACCGGTGTAAATTTGCAAAGTGGGGCAGTGAAGCTGATTCATCGTCTCAGTCAGGAAACTTGACAGGCAGAAACAGCACATAGTTTCTTACTGGCATGTTGGGTGGACCGACTAACTCCAGGTGTTTTAAGTTCAGACTAGCTGTCAGAATAGCGAAATGTGACTCATTCAGAAATAGTGTTTACTAATCACCTAAATCACTGCAGACGTCTGCATGGATATCTGAAAATGGTTAGCCTCCTAGATAAATTAGGCATGTACAGTGGTACCTTGGAAGTCGAACAGAATCCGTTCCGGAAGTCCGTTCGACTTCCAAAACGTTTGGAAAGCAAGGTGCAGCTTCCGATTGGCTGCAGGAATCTCCTGCAGCCAATCAGAAGCCATGGAAGTCGCATCGGATGTTCGGGTTCCAAAGAACGTTTGAAAACCGGAACAATCACTTCCAGTTTTCAATCGCTTGGGAGCCGAAACGTTCGACTCCCAAGGTGTTTGAAAACCAAGGTACAACTGTACTGCTAATAAAAGACTGAGGAAGGCCAAAAGGTTGTGAAATATTAAAGCCACCCACTTTGAACTACTGCAATTGGAAGCCCACAATGGAGATGAAATGATGATTTTTGCAAAATGCCTTAAGACCTGCTTGCATTAACGTATTGTATATTTCCCAGCACCATTTGTGCAAAGATTATAGACTTTTAAAGAAACTGGGTCGTAATCCTTTGGGGTTATAGCTGAGGAATTTATTTTCTATCTATTCTTAGGGGAGAAAGGTGAGGGGAATCCCCCCCCCTACCTTTCATTTCAACATTATTTCCCACAAGACAAGGCTAATGCATAACAAAATGTATCAGGACTCACCCCCCCAACTCTGACAACACTTGCATGTTCCTCTGACAGAAGGGGGGGGGAATCTGAATAAGCAATTTGACCTGAGCAATTAAGCTCATTTCTTTTGTGAAACTTATAATGAAATGGATGGAATTTCCTTTTCAATACAGCTGCCTGTTCTAGTAATTGTCAAGGTAAATTGCACAGAAATACCTAATTTATTCACAAAAAGCCGCTGTGAAAGGGGATACTTTAGAGTATAAATGTCTCCTGGGGCTCACCACTTAAGATTTAAAGTGCCGAAGTATTTCTTGTTCATGAGACGTAACACCACAGGGCATTTTTATGGTAACTGGGAAAGGAAACATCCCAACTCTGTAATTTATCAGCAATAGTTTTGCCTGTACATAGGAATTTGTGGCCATCTCACTTATAAAATGAGGTTTGTAGCATCTAATCATTAGTTATAAATATTAATAAGGTTTTTCAAAAAGGAATTTCCATTTCTGAAAGCCAAGTCTTTATAAAATATCCTTTGGTCTATTTGTGTGGCTCAAAATTTGACTAAAAATTATGCTAAACTGCTCCAATCTCAATGTTTTAACTGTTTAAAGATTGGTTATGCAAAAGGAGGGGAAAAAAGAATTTTAAAAATGGGTCAAGTGAGGGATTTCTGAATCCAAAGGAAACAGTGGCTTATTTCCCAGCAATTTTAGATTGTGAATCAAATCCGTTTTACACATACCTTGCAAATATTGTACCACAATGTCCAACGTGGCAATGACAAGCTTTGCACATAGTCAGGATGTTTTGTGCAAAAGATTCCACGGGACTAATTTATTTCTCAAGACAGAAAGGAGCCCTGCAATGGTTTGTGTGTCACAAGCAAGTAGTATTAGCATACAGGAGAGCTCTCGGGGTCTCAGCAGAGGAAGCGGCGGCTAGGAAAAAGCAAGCTAAATAATGCAAAAACCTTTAGTGAGAGAGAGAACGTGTCGGGCCTTGGCAAAGCTCCAAGACGATGCACAACTGGAAGTCCAGTTCTAGTGCCAAGTCACAAATGGACATGAGACAGGTGAGGTTCTTCGAAGGCAGGCAGGTGTGGTGGTCAAGGGCTGGAGAAAATAAAAGGAACATTAGAAGCTGCCTTGTCAGACCAATGGTCCATCTTTCTCTGCTCTGTTTACAGTGCCTGGAAGCAGCTCTCTGGCATTCAGACAGGGGTCCTTCCCAGTCCTACAGGGAGATGCCAGGAATGGACTCTGGAAGCGCCTGCATACTCTACCACTGAACTACAGAAGGCAAGATCACCTGCTGCAGGGTGAGGCCAGGTCTGTGTGGCTACGGTTCGAGACAAGGTGCTATGCACGACGAACGGGGCTTGGATGTTAACCGTCATACAAGCTCTGGCCTGTCTCAACCAACTTCTGAGATCAATATTCAGGTTGCGGTGTGTGTTGGCTATATTCAGATTGCTGTGGCTGCCTAGAAGATGCCCTTGCTCTAGTAAAAGGTAAAGGTACCCCTGCCCGTACGGGCCAGTCTTGACAGACTCTAGGGTTGTGCGCTCATCTCACTCTATAGGCCGGGAGCCAGCGCTGTCCGCAGACACTTCCGGGTCACGTGGCCAGCGTGACAAGCTGCATCTGGCGAGCCAGCGCAGCACGTGGAACGCCGTTTACCTTCCCGCTAGTAAGCGGTCCCTATTTATCTACTTGCATCCGGAGGTGCTTTCGAACTGCTAGGCTGGCAGGCGCTGGGACCGAATGGCAGGAGCGCACCCCGCCGCGGGGATTCGAACCGCCGACCTTTCGATCGGCAAGTCCTAGGCGCTGAGGCTTTTACCCACAGCGCCACCCACGTCCCTGCCCTTGCTCTACAGAGGTGTAATCTGCAAGGTTTGTGGAGCAAGCATTAGCATCAAGTGTCACAGAAAATAAGGGAATACAGTGGTACCTCAGGTTAAGAATTTAATTCGTTCCAGAGGTCCGTTCTTAACCTGAAACTGTTCTTAACGTGAAGCACCACTTTAGCTAATGGGGCCTCCCGCTGCCGCCGCGCCACCAGAGCACGATTTTTGTTCTCATCCTGAAGCGAAGTTCTTAACCCGAGGTAATATTTCTGAGTTAACGGAGTCTGTAACCTGAAGCGTATGTAATCCGAGATACCAATGTATAGGAAGTGTCCTCATACCAAGTCAGAACAATGGTCTAGTATCTACCTCAGTACAGTGGTACCTTGGTTTGCAACCGTTTTGGATTACAACCACATCAAACCCTGAAGTGTGTGTCCCTTTTTTTTGGATTACAACCCCCTTTTTGTGTGGGGGGGATTACAACCATTTTCTTTTCTTTTTGGAGGCCCCACTGGCAAGAGCACCTTGGGTTACAACCTGTTTTGGTTTACAACCGGACCTCCAGAACGGACTATGGTTGTAAACCAAGGTATCAGTGTATTTTCTACAATGATTGCCAGCAGCTCGCCAGGGTTTCAGGCAGGGTTTCTCAAAAGTCCTACCTGGAGGCGCCCAGGAATTGATCCTGACACCTTCTGCATGCAAAGCAGATGCTCTACTATTGACCTACAGCCCTTCCTCACTGGAGACTCTCTGCTTGATGCCATGGTATGGGACCTCCTTCCAGCACCATATAGTATTGTTTCATCACAAAACTCTAAAACATTTTGTTAGAAGACTGGGAGAGGGAAAATGTAGCTGGTCAATTGCTATAACTACGCAATGATAGTGCAAACAGGAGACATCCACTGTAGACATCTAGGCAAGTCCTAGATCTTCCTGCAAGAACTATCATTCTCTAAAGTCTTCTCCCAAAATGGAGACCACTGTAGGCTTTTGCTAAAAGATCTGGCAGGCCTTTAAAGGTGATCTGCACTATCGCCCTTGGCCAGGGCTGCCAGAAGAAGCCGCTACACCAGCACTGAAGCAAGTCCCACATGCAACACAATGATATGCAGCATTTTGCCACCATTGCGACTCAACCCAGTGTGTTGCAAAAGCAGAGCATCACCACATGTTTAAATCTTGGGCCAGTCACTGTCTCTTAGTCCAACCTACCTCACAGGATTGTTTTCAGGATATATGGGGAGGGGGAAATTAAGTTTCTTGGAGGAAAAGCGGGATATAAATGTATGTATGTATGTATGTATGTATAAAATAAATATATAAATCCTTTAGAATGCATTATTAGGGTTCTAAACATTTGACCGTTTTAGCTATGGAAAAGAGGGTTGTTGTTTTTAAGTATTTTCTTCTCCATAGTTCAAATATACAGTCCAACCTATTGCAAATTATAAGTTATTAAGGGACACAAAACACATTTCTTGGCGTAAAGAGGGCTCGCTTTAACCGGTATTTTCCCACCTTCTGACGTAAATGACAAGCTTAAGTTCATTCTGGCATTGTTTTCCTATTTGATTAGCCATGCTAATTATGTCTCTGACTTTCTCTCTTTTTTGCCAGAATCATGAAACAATGGCAGAAGTTTTAGAGAGTAAGAAGAAGCATTGTCTCAGCCTTGCATGCGCCAACAGAAAAAGTTGTGTGGCCCTGTAATTACTTTCAGAGATTTCCTATGCAAATCTACTCCTACTACGCACATCTAACAATACTCACATGAAGTGAGTGGGAAAGGATCACCTCACACAAATATCAGCCAAGTACATTTCAAAAGGGCTGGTCAGATGTTTCCATTCTGAAGATGACTTTAATCAACGTATGAGTGTGAATGGATTCCCCTGACCTCTGCAATATGTTCCCAAACTGAAAGGAAAGGCAGGCCGTTGTGTAAGGGAAATGTGATGCCGGTTGCCATCTTACAGTGTAAATGTGGCAAATGTGATGAGGCCAAGACTTGCCACCAATAAGTCCCTTGCTCCCTGCAAACAGTGGGTATACAAACCTGCACCATTCTTTGCGGGAAACAACCAGTTCTTACCTCTAAGAACTCCATGAAACCCAAGAGCTGTTATATAACTGAAAGCTTACTCAAATCCAATTCCTGTGGCCCACAGGGCACAGCAAGACGTTCAACGCTATTGGATGTTACCAGCGGTGACAAGTAGCTTAATTCTGCCCCATTTACAACCTGCACCACACATGGGGTGCAATGTGAGAATGCGCTCAACGATGAATGTGGAAAAGCCTCTAGCCCAGACGGCATGTAGGCACCAAATGAAAAAGCCATGCCACACTATCTCATCCACGGTCGGAAACTGCAGCAAACCCCACACTGAACTAGCAACCCCTGAAAATCAAGCAACGGAGGAAGAACAAGAAACCAATGCAGTGGTACCTTGGTTCTCAAACTTAATCTGTTCCGGAAGTCCGTTCCCAAACCAAAGCGTTCCAAAACCAAGGCGCTCTTTCCCATAGAAAGTAATACAAAACGGATTAACCCGTTCCAGACTTTTACAAACAACCCCTAAAACAGCAATTTAACATGAATTTTATTACCTAATGAGACCATTGATCCATAAAATGAAAGCAATAAGCAATGTACTGCAGTCACACAATCAATCAATTAGTAGCTGAACTGGGTTCCACACAGTCACAAAAACAAAACAAAAGAGAGCCACAAAAACACAAAGTAAATAGCAAAAAAAGACAGACCTCAGTGTAACACTCAAAACGGAAGTGCGGCACTCAGTACGGAAGTGTAACATTCAAAACGGAGCGTGTTCGGCTTCCGAAAAAAAGTTGGCAAACTGGAGCACTTGCTTCCGGGTTTGCAGTGTTTGCAAGTTGTTTGAGTACCAAGATGTTTGAGAAACCAAGGTACCACTGTACAGTGGTACCTCGGGTTACATACGCTTCAGGTTACAGACTCCGCTAACCCAGAAATATTACCTCAGGTTAAGAACTTTGCTTCAGGATGAGAACAGAAATCGTGCTCCGGCAGCACGGTGGCAGCAGGAGGCCCCATTAGCTAAGGTGGTGCTTCAGGTTAAGAACAGTTTCAGGTTAAGAACAGACCTCCGGAACGAATTAAGTACTTAACCCGAGGTACCACTGTATAGGATCACACAAAATGCCTGCTAGTTTAAGAGAAGCCATCTGCAGGCACTTACACAGGTCTGAGCTTCTCATGCACAATCCTAAACAGAGTCACACCTATCTGCTAGACCAGGGATGGGGAACCTGAGGCGTTCCATATGCTATTGAGAGGGAAAGTCCAATGGTCAGGAATGATGAGAGTCTATGGTAGCATCTGGAGAGCCATCTGTTCCCCATTCCAGCACTAAACCCTTTTCCTTGGAAATAATCACAATTAACGTGCACAGGACTGTAGTGCCAATCAATGTTATTTAAGAATGCACAAAGGGGACTTTCAGGATCACATTTTAACTGCAGCGCAATACATTTCTATATCTACTAACTTAATTTAAGGTTTTCTGGAGAGTGCCAGCTTTACATGAGATTAATCCCAAAGCTTTACCATAAAGAATAATCATTTCGCAAGTAAGATGAATAATATAAGCTTTTCAGCAACAAAACTGCTGAGTATTAATTCCTATTGTTCAACAACAGCAGTAAATGGGAATATGACTAAACAAAGAAATGCCACTAGGATCTTAGAAATCCACTCCATATGAAATTAAGAACGCTGATCATGACCTTTTAAAATCCGTATGGGGAGAGGACAGCTGATGCCAGCAGGCTGACAGATAATTAGATTAAAAGGTTGCAAATTAAAAACAGACAAGTTCAACCTAGAGGGAAATTACACATTTTTAAAAACTGTTGAAAACCACTCTCCATTAGAACAGCAGGTCAGAGCTGCATGAGTTGAAGCTTTAAAGTGCTAGCTTCAGAAATTACTGACTGGAAAATTATAACAGAGTGTCAGTTAAAAGGGGATGTCAGCCTCAGATAAATATTAGAGCACCCTTTCTTTGTCTTCCATCTTGTACAAGTTATTGTACAGTTTAACGCCCTCCCCATCTACCATTAAAAATCCACATTTCCTTCAGATACTGGAAGGGATCTGGGCAAGGGGTTTTGCTCCCCCACCCCTTTTTTGATGGTTTTGGTGTTAAATGACCAATCGCCTCTGGCCCCCCACACTCCCTCTGTCCCCACCCAGCACACAGATTCGCTCACCAAATTCCCATTTATCACAAACTAACATTTGTCCTTACATTCAAATGAGCAAATGAGTTTGCGATCACCCTCCAAGGCAGAATTGCAAGCACCATTAAAAAAAACCATGGTTTGGCATTCCGGTAGGGATGGACCACAGTTTAATAATAATTCACCTCTAAGGGCAAAGGTGCTAAACTTTCAGGGAGGAAAGGGTGTTGAAGGAACGTGTGAGCCCAGGGCTTCCTAACGTAACTTCAAATTATAGTCTGGTTTTATATGCATCACAAGCTTACATGGGATATGATCCAGCATTAGGGCACTGCCAGGTATCTTTAGAAAGGGAAATTATTTCCTGTTCAACACTGGTAACGCATTGCAAAGGAATCCCTCCCACACTAAAATTGTGAGAAGCAAAGGCAACGGTGATAAGAATAGGAATGTGATGGTAATATTTGTCAAGCGTGAACATTACGAAGAAGCCTGAAGATGGCATGTGACTTAATATATAGATTCCATTCTGAAGGTACACTGTAAACTCTGCAGAGATTAAGAAAGGTGACTTGGTCTCAGTTATCCATCCTCTGGTAACCTCCAGGTTAGACTACTATAATATATTACATGCAGTACTGCCTTGGAGATGTTGATAATCTAGAAACTGCATTCAGTACTAACAGGGACTGTAAAATGTAAACTGCATTTCTTTCAAAGTGCTGGTTTTGATGTTGAAAGCCCTTCACAGCCTAGGACCAGGACTGAAGAACCACTTTTCTCCATACAGTCGTACCTTGAAAGTTGAACAGAATCCATTCCAGAAATCCGTTTGACTTCCAAAATGTTCGGAAACCAAAGCACGGCTTCTGATTGGCTGCAGGAAGCTTCTGCGCCCAATCAGAAGCCGTGGAAGCCCCGTCGGATGTTCGGCTTCCAAAGGAACTTTCGAAAACACAAACACTTCCAGGTTTCGATCACTCGGGAGCCGATTTAGGTATGACTGTATATACTTCCCTTCCATTAATATATTCTCTTCCTGCAGCTTTTCCTGCTGTCCAAGGCAAAGTTAGTGGCTACCCTGAGAAGTGAGGGCCTTCTCAGTGGTAGCACCCCAGTGAGGTTCATCTAGCACCTGCTTTATTGCCCTCAGCATCAGGCAAATACATTATTTTAGATGCAATGTTAATACTGCTATTTATGCTGCTGTTTTTATTTAGCGCATTACAACTTTGTTTCTCCCCATTCACATTTCTGCTGTTTTGATCCTTCTGTAAACTACGCTAGACATACACTATCACAAATATGATTTTTAAGGGGAATTCAACATCATGCAAGGTGATCGATAGCACATGCAACAATATCCCCATATTCCTCCTCCTATTCCATAGATTTCCCCAGCCCCTCAAGCCAAATTCAGGGTGGGGTGTGCAGGGGCTTGTTGCACAAGCAGAAACTGACAGAACTCACTAGCTGAATCCCAGCCTTTCTTACATATTTCTGAAC